CGTTTATCACTGAGCTTTTTCCGTTGCTCGTTCTATAATTACAATCATCATTATCATAATACTACACACAATAAAAAAATAATAGTAATAAATAAGAATAAATTTAAAAAATAATAACCACCTGCCAAAGAATACCACCTTCATGGTGTCACGATGGAATATCTCCTTAATGGTTTTGATCGTATCCATAAAACGCTCCACCTCACCCATCTGCTGCTCGGGCACGATGTTTTGCCCATTGATAACCTCTGTAATCATTATCATTATTGCTTCTTTATTCAATAATATAATAACAATAGCAATCAATAATATTAAAAACGAACCGTGATAAAATGTCGACAAATCACTGACGTACCCTTCCAGATCGTTATAAATCTCACCTATGGCCTTCTTCGCTTCAGTGAAGCGTTTTAAAGGCTCCGTGCCATTGCGTCTCGACATTTTACCTAATAATAATATTTATAATAATAATAATTCATAATACTAACAATATATTACAACAGCAATAATAAAATTAACTCAGAACTGAGAGTGTGCATCAACTACAAACATCACACTACAGACACCTACAGCAGGCATAAAGTTTTAAGATGTCGTTGTAAGAATAACTATTAACAGCCACTAATAACATACACAATAACAATAATAATAAAAATAAAAATAAAAAATCTCACCAGACCGCGGGTCACCGCCCGATACATTCGGCAGATTGGCCGACATCAGTGACTCGGCACGTTGCAAATGCGCAATGGTTGAAGCAATTTTGATGGGTTTACTTTAATTAATTCACCGAAATTATATTTTTATTATTGTCGTTGTTATTATTATATATTTATTATATTATTTAATATATACACCTCTATTATACGATCTATAAAATAGTTGCGAATGATTGACGATAAATTAACTGATAAATTAACAACGCAACCAGCTGACTGGCTGGTGACGACAGCAAATAATAATTAATCGAACTCGTGACACCACAGCGGTGGCGTGACCTTTTCATTCACAGAGTACACGAACGCATACACGTACACACGCGCGCGCGAACAATGTTCATTTCGTTGCGAGACCCAAAATAATTCAAAATTCAAATTATCATAACACTACAGCCCTACCGCAAACACCTCCGCCGCTGTTGCAGCACAAAACCACATTTCGCGTTAAAACCAGATTCCGCGTTAAAAAACCACTGATTAATTAAAAAAGCTACTTAGGTAGCATTAATATTAATAAATACGCACAAACTGGGATCGATATCCTAGTTCCAAACGCAATTCCAAACCAAAGTATTAAATTACACTTTTATCTAAACAATAGCAGTGAAAAAAAGTCTAAAATAAATAATCACACACCAAACAAATTTACTCCAATATAAACAAATCAGCACGCCGTATAAACCCTTCGATCCGATCGATTTTGATCATTAATTCTATCATTCTCACAATCATAAACATCAATATTATTACTAAATATTAATAATATCTCATCAAAATAACACCAAACCAAATCCAACAATGATTATCACCTTCTTACTTATTACTGTTATAATTACGACAACACAAGCCAACAACCACACCTACTCTAAACCGACACTATCACAACACCAAGCTATGTATAACCCTGTTCGTACAGATTCTGCAAATTGGGCTGCAAAAGCTGAAATTTTTGAAAAATATTCCCGTATGATGGTTCTTTTACAGCTTGCGAAGCAGGTAACTTTATAAAAAAATTAATAATTTTTTAAAGGTAACCCTAAAACAATAATAACTATAATAGTGAATAATATGAATATTCAGGGTTGGAGCCTTTATAAGGGTCATTGGTACCGCTTGTTTTACGAAAAGCTACAATGGCCAGATGCCGAGCAATACTGCATCGAATACGGCGGACATCTCGTGAGTATTCTAAGTGAGGAAGAGAATCAATATGTCGACAAACTTAGACGAAGTATTTATCATTATTATACATCAATAATATTATTATTATACATTTTTCGACACAACAGCACACTGAAGATATTGTGCTGCAAAACATCGCCGTAAACAAATTCAAATTTCCGCCAT